GTGTTACCAACAGAGCTCATTAACATAAACAGCTCTTCTGAATGGAAGTCAGAGCAGGCAGAACTAGAAAATGTGAAATTTTATTATCTGAGAATTATTTTGTGCATTAAATTGAATGAACATGGTCTGGATAGCCCACAGACATAMCATAAACATTTCTAGGACCCATAATTTGTCTCCTTCAAGTATACAGTATCTTAGATAAGTACAAAGGTAAACTGGACACATACTCTATTATATTTAGTTGAAAATTAGTACACTTAAAAATACTTGCATATATTACTTTTTGGTAAGGGCATCCATTTTTCCATTTTCAGTATCTGTTTTTAAAATGAATGACCAAAAATTGCACAGACTACTGACAAATGCCACTTTTGTAATTTAATGGATAAACCGAATGGACCTAAGGTTTCACAACTTTACCATTATTAGAATGAACAAATCAAAACCAAAATAAAGAAATGTGTGTATTGCATACAATAAAAATAAAACATAACAACTTGATAATTCTGAGACACAAAGTGACTTTAGTAAGTAAAATTGTTTTATAAGTCAAAGACATCAGATAGGTGTTGGTGTTTGTACATCTTTTTAAAAATGAGGTATTTTAGATTCAGGTTTTCCAAAGAGCTCCTGCTGTAAACTCACCCTTCAGTATTTTCTCATCCATCTTCTGGCTGAGACCTGAGAAACACGATATGTTTCCTAATAACGAGAGCTTTTATAGAGAAATAAAAGAACTCACTCGGCGGTGAGCTTCACACTTGTTCTGAGGGGTGAGGCTGACCCTACGGACGAGGATCAGGCAAACTGGAGAAGTGAGCAAATACACAGAAAATATAACCTCTTTTTTGGCTGAATATTTTGTCCGTTATGATTACGATGATCAGAATAATTGGTGTAAGGTAATCAGCGATCTCCAATAATCTATTTATTCATGAGGAACCTAATAGATGTAGAGACCTTGTTTGTTTTTCCTCCAATCATCCACAGCATCAGTTCCTCCACAACACTTAATCACCACCGCGCTTTTCTATCTGAAAAGATACTAATGAAAGGTGATTAGTGCCGCTCCGTCAGAGCTAATGAAGCTCTCTGTCTGACTGTCACCAGGGGAGGAGTCTCTGACAATATTTGTGGACAAAAGGAAGCTCAGCCTGGAGTCTTCTCCGCCAGGGGCCGAGGGCAGCAGCAGGAACTCGACGACAGGCGCAGTGACTTTGGAAGCCCTCCACCAGCTGGCTGCTTCCTACTTCACAGACCGAGAGGGCACCCTGCGCCGGCTGCACCACCTCCAGATTGCATCCACCGCCATACGGGTACGTGGAAGTGTGCAACACAGAACTGAAACAGTGCCTAAAGGCAGCAGAGCTGTGGTTTSTTATCCTGCAGCATTTACACAAGAGGACATGATGAAATAAAGCATTAATGTTGCTGGGTCGGCTTATGGGAAGCTTACTTAGCATAAATGAATAAATCATTTAGGGAAGGTAAACCACTTTAAATCTGATCAATGTGTAAATAAATACACACATCAGGAGGTTTTAATGGATCCAGTTAGAGACAACACAGCAACTTTACACCTTTGACCCATTTTTATTCTACTGGATCTTTTTTTATTATTTCAGTTAAAACTACTTCACGTTCAAAATGCAGACCTGTAATACTTTATCATTTTAAAAAGGACAGTTTAACCYCACATTCTTGACTAACATTAAACAATTAAACCCTGTTTAAAGATGAAGATGTGATTCTGAGATTTTACTGCAATCTTCACTCACAACTTGAAATGTTTCTGTGACTCCAAACCTCATTGAAAAACATTTTCTTCTTGAAACTATTGTCATTGATTATTTCAAAGTATTTTCTCTTACAGAGTCATTTGAAAAACCTGTCCTGAGCTGTAATGAGTCAATAAAAAAATACATTTTCAACTTCACTTTTGACTCAGATTAGAAGTTTTACTTTGAAMATTTCATCAAAACTTCAAATGTTTTGATAGAAATTCCTGCATCTACTCACCTCAGCTTCAAGGGACAGTTCAGCTCTTTTGAAGTGGGGTTCAAATGAACAGTTAACATCTTTCCTGGCAGGAGATAGCTCTTCGAACAAATTCGGTTTGGAAAAAAATGACTTTTATTCTGACGGGATTGATGAGCCTGGGTTGGCTCAAGTCCACCTTAAAACGTACTGAGGTTCATGCAGACACTATTTCTAAACGTGGGCAACTGGTGGCTCACTCGTGGGTGACTTTCGTCTGCCAATGTGCCTCCCACAGAAAAAAAATATATGATTAATATATTTTTAATTTTTTTACTTACAAATTCGGTTTGGAAAAAAATGACTTTTATTCT